TGGAGTGCTGTCATTGACTGTCTAGTACCAACTCTAATAGGTAGCTTACATTCATTGTGGCTTTTGTATGTTTGCCAGCTTGCCTTACACATGTGGGCTGAAAATGATGCTGTGATAAGGTAGTGCTGGTAATGACTTCACTCCTTCTTTAATAGGAAAGAGGATTTGAAAATGATTTTGTCTGTTTTCCTAATTAGAAAACAAATGATAACAAACAAAGTTATACTAAAGCTACCAGCACAACTATGTTTGTGACAGCATTATTCCCCATAGCTAAGATATGGAACTAACCCAGATGCCTCTCAGTAGATGAATGAATCAAGAAAATGTGGTGTGTGTGTGTGTGTGTGTGTATGTATATGTGTGTGTGTATATATATATATGTAATTTTATGTTTCCATCAGAAAGAATTACACAACCCCATTTGTTAGAAAATGGAAAGACTTGGAAAATAATATTAAGTGAAGTAAGCCAGACCCAAAGAAATATAGGTCCCATGATTTCCCTCATTTGCAATAATTAGTATGCATCTAGGATAATTTTATCAAATGAGCAGAAAAGCTCAAAAGCTATGTACATATGACCATATAAGATGATACTAAATGAAAGGAACCCCAAGATTGGGATACAGAGGTCTTTCTTTGTTGTGGTGGTTTTTAATGCACTTAGTGATTTTTTTTTGTTTGCTTTGTATGTTCTTCCCCTTATGGTATATCCCCTGTTGTCACTGTACTTGACTTTGGTAACCTGCATATTTTATATACATTTATCTAATTTTGGGAGGGGAAAGGGAATAACAGAATGCTGAAACAAGGACACAGGATGACCCATTGCAACAATGATACCCACAAGACACCATATTGGAGATGAACTTTACTACTTCAGAAGGGGAGGAGTAAGGGAGTTTGGGGAAGGAAGGGATAGTGGAAGAAAAACAAAGGAGGGGATAATATTGCTCGACAAGAAATGTACTCATTATCTTACTCATTTGACTATAACCCCTCTGTATAGCATCTTTATAATAAAATTTTAAAAATGCAACCTCCTTAAAGTATGTTTATGTTTGCATTTGTACATGCATATATATGCTTCATTTTTTTTTTTACAGAAGTAACATTGTGTACCTTCTATTTTATACTAAAAAACTCAATTCACTATTGCTCCTTTTTTTGTTTTGTTTTGTTTTGGCTTTAACTTAAGGTTTTTAACTTGGGTCCTCACACTGGCCAGGCAGGGGTTCTGCCTCTTGAGTTTGGCCCCCAATCCTTCACTTTCGGGTTTTTTTTTTTCTGATAAGGTCTCATGGTTTTGCCTAGGGCTGGCCTTGGCCTGTGAATCTCTTATGCGTGTGTCCCATGTGGCTGACTTTCAGACTATAAGCCACACCATCTGTGACTTAAGACGAGATCTTGCTAACTTTTTGCTAGGCTAGCTTCAAGGCAGATTCTACTGATCTCTTCCTCCTGCGTAGTCATCATTGCCTATTGAGCCAGGGAAGTCTAACTGTAAAAATAAAACAAAAGTCAAGTAGAAAACTATCCTTAATTCAGCTAATGTTAGCATATAAGTTGTCTTTATTTTTTTTTTTGTCTGTTAAAAAAAACTTTCCTCAGTAGACCCACATAATTTTTTTCAGGCAGTGGGTTTGATTTATTTACAGTGAGCTCTTGGACTTAGAGAAATCTACAAGTGTAGTGTGTGTAGTGATATGCATTGTTCAAATGGCTCTTGCCACTGCTGGAATTTAAAACTAAATGCAAACTTAATGAGAAGTGGAAGAAACTTTAAGGAATAGTTCTCAGAGCTTTGCACTCCAGTCCAAAGTGCAGGATATAATTCACCAACATCAATATTTTTCTAGAAGTATAGAACTGCATCTTGTACAACATTTCCTGATTCTCCTTTTAGTAGAACTGGCCAAGTTTTCAGGGAAGTTTTCTGGAAACAGTTACTATACATACATGTAGCTCAGAAATAGCAGCATATGGATTACATTGATAAAAATAAATAAATGTTTTACATTTTGGGTATTTTATAGGAGAATTAGGCTACCTGAATAGTTGCAGTTATCTGTTAGGTGGATTAAAGATCCAGCAGCTCTCTTAGTTGCAAATATGCTGTCACTGTGTCTAAAACAGACTAATGTTCAGAATCTGTGGACTTGATGTTATTTCTCAGGTGCTGTTTATAGTTTGAACTTTTTTCTTGCTCAAATTCTATAAGAAAGAAAATGTGGTGTTTTTCTTTTTTGGGTCAGAGGTGTGTGTGTGTGTGTGTGTGTGTGTGTGTGTGTGTGTGTGTGTGTGTGTGTGTGTGTGTGTGTGTGTGTGTGTGTGTGTGTGTGTGTGTGTGTGTGTGTGTGTGTGTGTGTGTGTGTGTGTGTGTTACTGGAGATTAAATTTAGCATCTTCAGCTTGTTAGGCAGTTGCTCAACCCCTCCAGCCCTGTTCCTAGATGCATCAAGGTAATTTTTAAAGATACTGTATGCTATGTTTTAAATATGAAGTATTTCATCTTTGTGTTTTAGATTCACATAGCATCAAATATTACAACTGAGAAGCATCTCACAATGAAAAATACATTTAACCAGAAGTTTCCATGTGCCTTAGAATTTAAAAGGAAACTTCTCCCCCTGACTTTTAATTCAGAGCCGAATAGTCTTTTTTTTCCCGCCTGGGGGAGCTGAGGTTGACTGTAATGTTTTACACCTGTTTCAACTTTTGCCGTTTTTATTGGCAGTAAGATTGGCCATCCTATATTTCTTGTGAAGCAAAAATATGAAATAAAATATGGCAAGGCACTGGAGAAGTTATAATAAACATAAAAATGAATTGTTCAGTTTAAAGCATGAAATGCCTTACCTGCAGATTTGTAGTTTCAGTACAATTGGAAAAGTAATTTATTCTTGCAGCTCTCTCTCAGGAAAATAAAGGCAATTACTTTCAGTGGCAGGAATAACCCATAACTTTTTACATTCAAGTGAATATACTCTGGGACACTGGCAGTCATATTGAAAGGGACAGTAAAAAAAAACAAACCTTCTACATCATTGTGTGTGTTCACGTGATGGTGGAATAATAAAGATCTGGAGTCTCAGCATACAGATTAGCAAGACTCAATAGAACCATTTTGCCACAAAATCCAATCAGATTTCAGTGGCTGAGAGATGCCATGATATATGCAGTTTGACTTATTTTAAAGCCAGCATTTTGCCGTCTAAACATAATGAAAAAGAAGTGATTTGGGTCAAGATATTACCAGGCCTCATATTTCTTCCCTCCATTCGTCTCCCTAGAAGAACTCTTATTCTTATGATAGTTGTTCAACTTTATTGTTGGTTTACAGTAAAATGACTACCCTTTTTAGTGCTTTGTGGAGAACAAGAATAGCTAACAAATATATAAGCAGTTTAATTTGGATATTGTTGCAATCTGTTGGAGAGTTGACAGTAAAATAGAATTTTAATATTGGCTTTATCTCCCTAGCTGGGATGCTTTGAATTTGATTCAGGTTAGGGCTTTAAGTTGAATGAAGGAAGGAACTTGTCTAGTACTATTCATTGCTCAGAGCCCAAGTATTTGTGGACTAAAACAGTGGAACACATGCTCTCTTTTCTTTACCAGATCTTTAAATTAACATTTAAAATACCTTAAGTTTATGTTGATCTCAAAGCCACCATAATCCCCATTTGGAAGAATTTATATTTTCACACTGAGGAATTTACAGTGCATTTGAGAATTAGAATAAGAATCTCACATTTGGGTGCAGAAAGATCCCTATTTAAGGAAAGAGAAGTCTCTTGGCTTCTCTTGTTGCTTTCCTTGACTGGCTTCTATTTGGCTTGACAGCTATGCCTCTTGGAGTCAGACTCTTTCAAGATACTGGGCAAATGGGGAAGAAGAAGGGATATTTCTTGGAATTGCAATGACTGGGCCTAAACAGTCAGAGCTGACATCAGAGTCAGTAATCAAACCAAGAACTGAGGAACCAGGGGACTGAGGATCTTGGAAAATAGACATAGCAGTACTTAAAAAAGTACATTAAGCTCAGATCTGGAGTTTCTTGTACAGTAGTTCCCCCTATACTGATTTGAGTTTATTACGGTTTGAGTTCAACTACAGAAATTGTCCCCTTCATATACATCCTGAAATTGAAAGGCTCATTCTCTGGGGTCTTGTTAGAGATCTGATGGATAGGGAGTTAAGGAGCATCTTGAAGTTGTGACATTATGAATTCGTTGTGAGCCAAATACTTACTTATTCTGAAGGAAGTTTCTGCAGTAGAATGTAACTGTGTCATGAAACTTTAACTGACAAATTGAGTTCCTGTGAGGAAAAGGAGATATCATCCATTTTATATACAGTAGACCATGGAAGGCATTTATAGGGTACCATTTATATTTAAAATTAATATTCAAATATAGTAACCTTTTAAATAATCTTACATGAAGTTTGCTGTTGGCTGTGGCCTTCACCATTATTACTGATTTCTGTGTTACTTTGTTTTTCTCTATGCATATATGAATGAAATAGATTAAAATGTAAACTGTGCCAACTAAAATCCAAGTAGATTATGTAGTTACTATAGTATGAAACTGAACCACCTCAGAAGTAGGTCATGTTGGATGAGCCTCCTCCTGACAAGACAGCCTTGTGCCTGGGATCTGTTATGCCTAAGAAGTTCATGGAACTCTGTTGTGAATTACTTTGACCATTGCATCTATTCATAGGTTCCTTCATTATGAAAGAGTAACTTTCATCACAGTGTGGAAATGGATATTTCTCAGTCTTCCGGAGTCTTTAATCTAGGGATGTGCAATACTGATGGGAATCAGTTTTTTATTTTCAATTTGGCAGTCCCTGATGAAGCACACGGAACTTTGGGACTTCAGGGATGGCATCACGTTTACCTTTGTATTCTTTGACCTGAGGGTCAAAGGTTTTATTGGATGCATAAATTAAAAAAGAAAGAATTTTAACGCTATGCATTTTTGCTTACAGCTGCAGCTGAAGGAAAAGGCAGGAGCGGGGAAGACTTTTTCCAAAAGGTAGGTTGCTCTTTACTCTTGTCTTGGAGATAGATAGGTCGAGGTTGATTTCCTTGCCTCAGCAGCAACACTAGATGTCCCTGAGTGCCCCCTTTCCACAGAAAGAAGGGTAGGTTTCAGTCACTTAGCTGGAAATAGTGTGAGCAAAGGGGAGAAATGTGGTATGGGACTTGACCTTTCCAACTAGGCTCCTTCTGGACAAGCCTAATGAAGGGTTTGTTTGAAAGTGAGAAGGCAGTTTTACTGTAAGGTGTATTTTTTTTCCCCACTGAAACCCATACAGGGTTGTCCTGATTATGTGCCTTTACCACTCTTGATCTCTCCTCCTTTCCCAACGTGTTTGACCTGGGAGGTGGAAAGGATCCATTACAGCTTTTCTTATTTCCTGTAAGCATGACTATGGCAGGGTAGCATAATCCTTGAAAGGTGTCTCTTGAGAACATGTTTACTCATGCTTGGTCACCGTGCCCATTCTGTCCCTGCTGCCCCCTGAAAGTTCTGACCTTCTGTAAGGCTAGTTGGGCCAGTCATACGTAGCCAGGGGAACTAGCAGCTGGAACTGATTGAAAAAGCTTACGAGAAATGATGAAGGGTACTTGGTCTCTAGACCTGTTTCCTAAAATTCATGTTTTATACAAAGAAAGAAGCCCTTCCTTTTGAAAAGACCGACTTGTGCTCTTCCAGTCACAGAAGATATCAGGAGAGGCTGGGGCTGCAGAGGGATAAGCAGCCCTTGTCTATGAGGTTAGCAAGGGCTCTTGATGTTTTCAGGAAGACAGAAGTTAAGCACATAAAGAACTGAAAGGACATTCTAGGCAAATCAACAGGATGTTTGAAGGCTCTGATGTGGATGAATTCATATGGCTGTGTACTTCAGACATTTGGTGGGTCTGTGACAGATGAGGAGTTCATTCATTGTCCTATGTGAGATATGCCATCTTGCGTGATAAAGAGCCTTCCTTCCATAGGGAACTCTTTCCTAAAGGAATTTAAGCTTTACAAATTTTAGCAATGCTGTGCTGACAGGATAGAATGTGCCAGTTTTCTATCATTATTTTACGTGCATGTAGTTGAATTTCAGATACTATGGTTGAGCCTTCAGTATGGCATTAATGGACATTGGTTAGTATCCAACTTCTACCCAATACTTGGTGTTTAATTGGATCAGGCTTGCCAACAAAAGACAAGGCCAGAGAAGACAAATAGTGGAATCCCAGATTTGCATCTGGTTGGCTGCGATGGTATAAATTGATGCTCTCTGTACAACAGTTTCAAAACTTCATTGTTCTTTAACTCTTAGATAAATGTAAAAAGCAGACTCCCTTGCTTTGTGCATTTCAGACAATCTAAAAGTTGAACCCGAACCTGATATATATTGTAATAAAGCAGTTTCATTCTTAGAAGATTTGCTAATATTTATCACCCTTTGTGGAGCCATATATACATTCCAGTGGTTTAAATGAAAACACATGTTGGAATCTAGAAACACATGTGCATCCCACAAACCCTGAGTTGGAACTGCAGATTTCATCCCTGGTTCCAGGTTAGTGAGGTCTCTGTAAATGAGAGTAATTTTTATCTCTTCATTTTCTTCTTTGGTGCAATAGAAAGTGTCTTTTTTTTTTTTTTTTCTGGGTCCGGTCGTGGGGTCTGAACTCTGGGCCTGGGCGTTGTCCCTCAGCTCTTCAGCTCAAGGCTAGCACTCTACCACTTGAGCCATAGCGCCACTTCCGGCTTTTTTCATTTTGCTTATGTGGTGCTGCGGAATCGAACCCAGGGCCTCAGGCATGCAAGGCAAGCACTCTACCACTGAGCCACCTTCCCAGCCCGAAAGTGTCTTCTTGATAGATAGGGGTCAGTATAGCATTTGCATATTCATCCTGGAACAAAAACTTAATAAAGTTCCAGCAGAGTAATATTCAGTGTTTTCACTGGACTGATGTAGATACTGTGGTTCATCTACCGTAGAATGAAGTAATGGAGAAGAGTGGAATTGTCCTCCAGGAATTTTCCTCTAGTCACATGTCTTCCCCTTTCACATAGTGGAAATATGTAAGGGAATATTGCACATTCACATTTTGAGAAACATTTGAGAAAAAAAAATCTCATCATGACTGGTGCTTATCAGCATCTTTGAAGAAATGTTTTCTCCTAGAGTAATGCATGTATGAAGAACCTGTGTGCTTATTCGTATTGGAATTTTTTTTTTTTGTTCCGATTCTTGGATGAATATGTCAAACAAAAATTAGAACTTGTCTGTAGGATTGGGGATTGGCTCAAGAGGCCCTGGTTTCAATCCCCACTACCTCAGTCCGTATGTGTGTGTGTGTGGGGTGGGCGGGGGGCACACTTCCATGTAGTTGAGTTCCAAGTTCATATGCATTTTTATTTTTATAAATGTTTTCCAAATCTGAAAGGATCCTTCTTTCTCTAAGATGGTGGTTAAGATTATGGATATAGCTTTATCATGTAAGGCATTTATATGCTACTTTGTGTTTTGTGCACATACACATATGTAAAAGTCGAATCAGTATGATTATGCTATTTATACTATGCTAAATTCAATTTAAGTAGCTCTCATTAAACTTTTAAAATTAGAAAACATAAAATTTAAATATTCAGGATAAGAATTGGTAGATGTCCACAGAGTTTAAATTTGAATTTAACAGTGTAAACTTGACAAATTTACTGTTTTACCTTTTTAAGCTGTGGTAGTAATTAGTTTTCTTTCTTTACAATGAGCTTCTTTTATAGTCAGTTAGCTTTTCCCAGATATCTATCATTCTTCCTATGCACTGTTTTGCTGCAAATGTTTGAAATACTTTATTGTTTGACTGTATCTGAGGGCAAAAGGCTAAGTAAGCTCTTATAGCAGAGAAACCCAACAATAGAGTGGCTCAAAGAATAGTCTTTTATTTAACTGGCTTATGACATTCTGGAGAAAATATTCCAGCTTAGTGGTAGCTCTGTACCTTGCTTTCTGCTAGAGAGATCCAGGTTTCTTTCATGTTATGTTCAGGCTGTTTCTTAAGGCATGGGCTTCTCTCCATGGTAGAAGCTGTTTATCACCAAATATAAGCTGGTAAGAAAGAGGATGAGATTATTGAGGAGGGCTACTGGGGTCAGACCTAGTGAGAAGTATGTCGGTCGTTCTCACATTTTGTTAGAGAAAACTTAGATAAGTCATCTGAGTGCAGTAAGGAGAGGGAGGGAGGGAGATGCCATAAACATTTAGAGAGGGGCTGGGAAGGTGGCTTAGTGGTAGAGCGCTTGCCTTGCATGCCTGAGGCCCTGTGTTCGATTCCTCAGCACCATATAAGCAAAAAGAAAAAAGCCGGAAGTGCCGCTGTGGCTCAAGTGGTAGAGCACTAGCCTTGAGCTGAATGGCTGAGGGACAGCGCCCAGGCCCAGAGTTCAGGCCCCACGACTGGACCCAAAAAAAAAATAATTAGAGACAAAAAACAAACCACTTTCCACCAAAAGCCACTGTCCTCTAGGAAGGAAATGTTGAAGTAATTGTCTTTATGTGGCATACTTTGAAATTTTTTTATATTAGTGTATTAGGGTAATCACATCACAAACTGGGTAGCTAAACCACAAGCAACTTATTGTCCTACAGTTGTGGAGGCTAGGAGTTGAAGGTGCCAACAAAGTCAGGTTCCTTGTAAGGACTGTTAGAAACTATTCCATGCCTTCCCTCTTGATTATATACAAATGATGTTTGCTGTTTTGATGGTCTTTGGCTTATAGAATCATGAACCAGATCTCTGCCTTCATCTTCATTTGACGTTTTGCCGGTCTGTGTATCTGTGTCCAAATTCTCCCTTTTAATACAGATACCAGCCACATGGCATTGGGGGCCATTCTACTCTGGTCTAGTCTTACCTTACTACATTTACAATGAACCTATGTCAAAATGCAGGCACATTTTGTGATCTTGGTGGTCAGCACTTCGACATAAAATTTTAGAGGAATAGTCCAAATCCTCCTATTTGATTGTGTGTGTGTGTGTGTGTGTGTGTGTGTGTGTGTGTGTGTGTGTTACAGCTACAAAGTCCTTCAGTGATTGTATATTTCATACTTGGCTCTGTGCTTCAAAAAAGGTGGTATGAATGCAGTTTTTTATCAGTATTCTCCTCCGTTTTCTGTCCACTTCTAATGGTAACGCTATATAATTGAAACACATGGAAATGATCTTCCGGATTCTTTTGTTTTTTTGGGCAGTTGTTCATGGCTTACTCACTGTCTGTCCTGTTTCCTTTTAATCACTTTTTTTCTTTCCTCTTGTGAAAATGATTATGTTCAGATCTTGGAGGGGAAAATGTGTTACAGTACATAAGGTGGGGATGGGTACAGTGATTTTATTACAAGTGTGACTCACCAAAGCAAAATGCTTTAAGATTTTGTTGTCCCCATGGCTGAAGAAGACAAAATCCAGTCAACATTGTCCAGGTTTTTCTTCTGCATTGGACTGTTTTCAGCATTTCCCCCCAAAGTACACATCATATATTTTAACAAAAGGATATTTTATATTTTTAAACATAAACTGGATGTTTCTTTGGAAAACTGACCTAAATACTTTGTTACAAGGCTAACAGGAAATTTGTTTGGTGGCTTATGTGATATATTTCTATCACCCTTAAAATCTAGACAAATAGATTACCGTATAGGTTTTGAAACTGGAAAGTAGCAAATGTTGTCTGCTGGGGAAAGTTTCTATAAGGGAAGTTGGGCTGCCCTTGTGTCTTGAAATAAGTACATAAGGTGATCTTAGATGGGGTTAACTTGAATCTTTTTATTCGACAGGAAGTAGAGATGATAAAATTACTTGTATTTTTTCCCACTGGGCATTATTTTTCATGTATTGAGTGAATCATGTTCCTATGGTAATAGTACCTTTTTGCTTAACTATTTAAAAGTAGATTCTGTTAGCTAGATCTAAAATGCCACTGGACATGATAACTTCTATAAGACTATAGACATTCACACACAATTAAATT